TGAGAGTAAAACATGAGAACACAAAGAACAGATTGAATGCAAAACTGTTAGTTCGTATTATCAAAGAAGAGTTTGAAATGAAATGGGGGGAAGACAGCCAGGGCAAAATTCTTGCAACAGGGCTGATAACATGCCCTAATCTTTTTTCAAACACAGTCTAAGTTTGTATACAAGTGAAGGAACAGCTGGTAACATAAGGATCTTTGGTTCAACAATATAAACTGAATGAAAAAGCACGAATAAATAATTTTACGTTTCCTCTCCTGAACTGATTTCCATTCCTGGCAGCACTCATTAAGCAAATAATGCAGTCTGTCTATCACAAGAGTCTTCTCTGTACCAACTAAAGAACACACAGGACTAAGAGGATAAAGGGTTCTTTAATAAGAACAGATGAAGTTTAAAAAAGAACTTATTTCAAAAGAGAAAAAAAACCCATTTTACTGCAAATCATTTAGGGCTAAGTAAGCAGTACTTACTATAGAAGAGGTGACTGGGCTGTAAGAATAAGAAAAACTAGGTTTTATTCAAGACTAGGAACTACATCTATTGAAATCTTTTATACTGATGATTTTTATATACTGTATTCTGTGTAAACTATGCATTGGGTATTCCTAATTGATGTAGGTTATCAGCTGCTATTTATTGGCAGTATAAAAGTACTTGGCAGACAGTTAAAGAAATTCAGCAAATAACTATGGAAGCAGAATATACTAGTCCTTAGCCTCCTGTTAGCTTATGAAAAACACACCTTTACAAAATCAGCTGAATTGTACAAAAGTGCAACCAGTTTTGACAGTTCCAAGTTGATGTATTTATCACTAAACAACAGACTACTAATTTTTAAAATTTTGTTGGAGTCTCACCTTTATTTCTTTACGCAAACGGACACTACTCATTCTGAAGTGAGCTGTAGGACCATCAGGCAGATGACTTAAAAGCATACCATCTGTTCACCAGGTTAAGGAAAAGAGGCTGGTAAAATTCAACATGTAATTTACAGAGGAACATTTTCTGCAAAACACAGTATTACATTAGAGTATTACGTCTATAATCTATGCCTGATTTACAAGGTTTCATTGTATTTTCAAACATACATTCATAAACTAGTTAACTAGTGTTCTGAAGAACGTCCATTAAAGTTTGTTTCAATAGCTAATCAGTTACCTTCTAATGCTTTCTCACTTACTAATTACTAATGTTTTATCTAGTCAGCAAAACTAAATGGGACTTCCTGGTCAGAAAAGCTTGTTAATTAATCAAACAGTTAAATTTACTGAAATAGTAACAATGTTTACACATGTATTATAACCTAAAAAAAAAAAAAAAAAGCCAACACACTTTCTTTAATAATTCCAAGTTCCATTAACCATCAGATACTCAAGCTGGTACACTGATTTTTAACTCTGTAGTTACACTGTAAGCTGCACGGTGAAGAGAGAAAATCCAGAATAAAGTAGATCTTTGGTGAACACTACAAAATCATTTTCTTTTTTTTTTCCCTAGCAGGCCCAGAGCTAGTATAGCTATTTTAATAAATACAAAAAAGGATACTTGGTATTTTGCGATCTTCATTAATGACAATTAAATCCGTGAAGTCCCTTGCAATACACTGTGGAATAATTCTTTTCAAAGCCAGTCCTCTTCGATAGTAGACATGTGAGTTAGGTATAACAGTAGACAGTTGTTCACAGAATCTCACTGTTCTCTGCAAAACAGGTGAGTTAAATTGCAATGTGGTAAATACACTGCCAAATTGAAATATAAGGAGAACGGAGGGTTGCTCTTTCCAATTGCCCTCCATGATATATTACTTCCAGTATTTCTGTAAACATTTTAAGACCAGCTATTAAATTACTACAATCAGTCAGTGGAAAATAAATTATTTGCAGTAAAGACTGCAGCACACCAGGGACTTTTTTTTTTTTAAAAGGATTTTTTTTTCTTCCCTCAATCATAGAAAAGTAGGAAAATTCCAAAAGCATACCCTCCAAACTCATTATTTATTAAAGACATCAGTTTAAAAAAAAGTTTGTAACATTTCAAGATACAATATAACTACTACTTCAGGTACTAATGTCTCAGTTTACAGATAAACTATTTGAAGTGTATTTTTTCCTATTTTTAAAAGCACTTCTTTTATGGTTTTCACAAATATTAGTAATCTCTCTGGTTAGGTAATGCATATCATTTGCATACAAGAACATACACAAGGTTGTTTTTTGTTATGAAGAAAACAGTGCTAGAGAAACTATAAAAGGTTATTGATAGTCACTAAATAAAACAACAGAAAAATATCCATGTGAAAGATAATATTTTCAGCTTTAATTTACCAATCACAGTACAAAAACCTTGGTATGTTACAACTAACTGACTGCTCAGAACTCTCCAAGTTAAAACACACGCACCCCACGAGGTCTGTCCGATGTTGTAATAAGAATCTTGGGAACTGTCTGTCTGTTGAAGTACGGTGCAAATTCATCAGTTGCTTCATCAAAAGCAACCTGGAAGAAGAGAAGTCTTGTTAATCCACCATATATGAAATGACTGAAGAACAATAATTCAATCTGATCTAAATTCTGATGAAATTGAATTTAGTAAGAAAAATTTCAATTCACAAGATCTATCCTATAATTAATCATCACAAGGCATGTGGTCTTCACATTTTTAAAAACCCAGTGTGATGAACACTGGCAGGTTTTACTATCAGTAACAGTAATGCAAAAGGCAATTATCTAATGTAGATAATGAAAGAATGACATCACCTCTTGGTAAAATCATCACATGTAAAAAGTAATTAATCAACAGCCTAACAGCAGAGTGGTGAATGTTAAGTTTCATCAATCTATTTTATGTCCCTTGTTGGAAAAAGAAGGGTTAACTTAATAGCATATGCAGAAATTAAACAGTTACCTCTTCATCATTGGGATCTACAGTTGTTTCATCATAAATTCTCTGATTTTCAATAGTCTTTGGTATGGCTTTTGGAGGTGCCTAAAATAAACATTACGTTTATTAACACAACACATTAGTGTAATTTCTAAGTGTATTCTGAAAAACACATTCATACCACCATGATATTGTGTATATTTCTACACAGAATTAGAAGTATTATTTATTTTATGCCAGCTTTTAAAAAAGAAGTTACATCGCCTTGACTAAAAATATGCATGGGTATTGAGACACCAGAGAGCATCACCTGGAGGAGGAGCATTGCTAGAACAGTGACACTGCTTAATTTCAGTCTACTTAAGAAACGGGGCTCCCAAACAAAACAAAAACGGGAACTTTCTGTGCACTTTTCTTCTCTTCCATGGAAGGAAAAAAGCTCTATTTTCTACAGCAGCACATTTTAGCCTTGACATCTACAATTTAACCACTAGTAGCCTGTAATGTTTACCCTGTTTACTTACACTGCTCTTGTGAGATTCTGGTAATACAGAAACTCACAACTGACTACCTTCAACTATCAATATGCTTTTGAAGCAGGTCCGGAAAAGAAGCAAAACCCTTCTTCGTGACCAGGCTTGGAAACCAGCACACAACTGATTTGGATAGAAATTACTTATTAGAGTGTAATTCCTAATAACGTCAACACAATGCCATAGCAATCACATCAGACAGAGGGGACTCTTCGGGAAGGGCCTGCTTTTATGCGTTATTAGCTTACAGCTCCCGGTGGCAGCTCCGCTTAACACCGGACCGACAACGCTCCTCAGCTCGGCGGTCTGACACCCCCGTGTACCACACAGCGTCCCGGAGGATCCCACGGGGTCACGGCTCCGCCCCACTGCGGGCTGGGGGGAACCCGCTTCCCTCACGGAACGGAAGAGCCCCCCGGCACAAGGCTGAGCGGAGGAACCACCACCACGGCGAGCCCTTCCCGCTGGCGGCGGAGCACGGCTGCCCTGCGGCGGCGGGGGCGGCCTCGCCACCACCGGAGCCCTTACTTTGTCCCCGAGGGCTTCCCGCTCCTTCCTCCGCTTCTTCTTGGCGGCCAGCTTCTCCTAGCGGGAGAGGGAGAGCGATCCGTTAGACAGACCCGCGCCCGGCCGGGGCCCTCCCCGCCCCCCGGTACCGC